ACAGAGTGAGACTCCAACTCAAAATAATAATAATAATAATAATAATAATAATAATAATAATGTGACTCCAGCTCAAAAACAAAAGGAAGGATTAGCAGTTAAATTGACCAACATTTATACATACTGAGAAAATGTACTTTTCTTTGGAAACTTTTAAATTATCTTTGTTCTTAGCCCTACGTGGTGCCTCACGCCTGTTAATTCCAGCACTTTGGGAGGTGGAGGCGAGAGAATTGCCTGAGTCTAGGGTTTTGAGACCAGCCTGGGCAACTTGGCGAGACCTCGTCACTACAATAAATCAAAACATTAACTGGATGTGGTGGCACACGCCCGTAGTTCCAGCTACTTGAAAGGTTGAAGCAGAAGAATCACCTGAGCCCAGTGGGCTGAGGCTACGGTGGCCGTGAGTGTGTCACTGTACTCCAGCCTGGGGGACAGAGTAAGAAGAAATAAAGTGTGTTTAGATTTTAAGAAGAAACAACATAACTCATTGTGGTTACTTTTTCACTTTCCCACAGTTAGATATATGTTCTATGTGAGTTTTATAGGTTTTTCCAAGGGAAGGATGGTTTGGTTGCATGTGAAGTTCTCTTCAAGGAATCTCAAGAGACATACATAAAATTTGTTGGGCCAATCCTTGTTAAATTGTTAGAATGACTGTCACCAGCTCTCCTTAGTCTCTTGCAAGTGAAGAATGATTTACATTCTTGAATAATGAACAGTTCCCATGGAAGATTTCTCTAGTGGACTAGACAAAAACTTTTGACTTATGTTGTGCTGGGGTAGTTCTGCAGTAATAATGGAAGACTAACCCAGCCAATTGTGCAATGTGAAATCTGAGACTTTTAGAATGAACTTTTGTAGTAGAAAAGTAATCATACTTTATTCTTAAAGACAATTTCACACACCTCATTTGAATCCACTCTCAACAATCTTGGGGTAGAAAGGACTCATCATATTATTCTCATTTGTAGGAATCAAGTCTTAAAGCTAAGGCCTGCAAGCCACATACGTGATGTGCAAGTAGCTGCATTGAATGGCAAAAAGCACAATGTGAAATTGATTTAAATGTATTTTGTTTAACCCAATATCTACACAATACACTTATTTCCATATGTGATCAAATAAAAAATAATGAGATGTTATACTGTCTTTGAAATCTGGTCAGTGTTTGCCCTGTGGCACATCTCAGTTTGCATTAGCTACTTTTTAAGTACCAGCAGCTACTGTATTGGTCAGCACTTGGAACTGAACATCTAACCTGAAAAAACATGGTGCGATGTGCCATTAAAAAAGCTTTGTTGGCCAGGCGCAGTGGCTCATGCCTGTAATCCCAGCACTTTGGGAGGCCAAGATGGGAGGATCTCTTAAGCCCAGGAGTTGGAGACCAATCTGGGCAGCATAGCAAAATCTCATCTCTACAAAACGTAAGAAAAATTAGCAAAGTGTGGTATATGTCCCTTGGGGTTCCTTGAGAGAACATCATATGTGCAACCAAACCATCCTTTGGAAAAACCTATAAAACTCCCGTTGA